CAGACCTAATCCTTCCCCACAGTTTGAATTTACATGCAGAAAGCTGAGGAGTGATGGTATAATAACTTAAACCCCCAGTCAGAGTCTACAGGTGGGTTCTGAGGTGGTGGTGGGGCTAAGCAAGAGTGCTTTACTGTTGAGGTCAGAGGTGGCAGCGAAAGAGCAGAGAGAGAGGGACTAGAAATCTTGTTTCTTAAATACACCGCTAACTGGAAGGAGGTGTCAGCGAAAAGGCCAAAATCATGACAGCGATTAATATTAATTTAAATGTGCATCAGGGAGGTTTGAGAGGCCCTATTGTGATTTAGTTACGTGCGATGGAAATGATTTATTTATTTTGTAATCATTTGAAGAAAGCAAATTGATTCACCAACTAGTAATCGCTTCGCATTATTTGCAATGCTGTCCCCCAATGTGAAGTGTTCTGTGAAGTGTTCTGTGAAGTTCTGTCGTCTCTCTTTGATTAGCCTCTGTCTTTGTCTCTGTCTGTGTTCAGGTTTGTTTCCTAAGAGAGGGGGACTTAATGTGGGTGGACATCATGAAGGTGGTGTCTGCGGGCCCAAGAAAAAAGCAAAGGGTCGAGGAGCCTCAGTAAAACTCGATGACAAATCAGGAGCCTCTCTGTTATCTTCAACCAAAAATGAAATATTGAAAAGGTAACAAAGAAAAGGTCGGACATTTGCACATTCATTTGTATTTGATGCTGTACCTAGAGACCATATCTCCTCCTCTACACTCACCAGTTCTTTAATATTGGCTGTTTTTAGGGGTGGCTCAGTTGGTAGTCATTCATCTCTAAACCAGAAGGTCTGGGGTTTGATCCTCACCTCCTGTAGCCACATGTCCGATGTTTCTTGGGCAAAACTCTTAACCCCAAGTTGCTCCTGCTGCTTCGTCAGCGGTGTATGAGTGTGTCTTAATGGATTTGTAACTTCTGATGGTCACTTTACGTAGCAGCCTCTACCATCAGTGTGTGAATGTGTTGGTGTGACCTGCGGTGTGACAGAGCTTAGAATAGTCAGAAGATTAGAAAAGTGCTAAACAAGCTCAAGTCCATTTACCATTTTTTAAAGTTATGTTCCAAAATATAAGAAAAGACAAAAAGTATGAACCCACTTTATAGGTAGGAACAGTTTTTATTTTCATTTTTAGTTGAATCTGCATCTGATGAAATGTCTCCTGCAGACCTCAGTCGTCACTCATTAGAGGACACACAAACAGACACACACCAGAGGACCAAAGGAAGCCTTCTTCAGCCTGCAGGGATACACACAATTGTCGGCTGCAAACAGAGACACACTTTGATGACCTTGGACCATCATCATCAGCTGTGCGTGAGTTTAACATCATATTACATAAAGACTTGATTACTCTTCAACTAGTCTTATGAACGGCTTCATATAGACGGGGTCATACTTGTGGTCCCTATTTAGAACAACATGCTTCATTACTTTTAAGGAAACATCGTCTGAAATTAATTTCACACTTTATGGGACATCCTCCGGGCAGAGAGTCAGAAGATTGAAGGGGGATTTTCTCCTTTATGTTTGAAAGAGTTCACTGTGTGTGTTCTTGTGTTAATGCTGATGTAAGACAACAGTTTGTCCCCACAGTTTCTTTATGCCGACTCATCAGCTGCACAAAACAAGTCGTCATTGATTCCACTGTTCATTTTGAGGTTTATGTTGGAAAATGTTTTATGTGTGTCGAGTAAGGCTGCATTAGGGATTGTAAATGTCCTCGTTATGTTAAGTCCAGCAAATCTAAAAAGATTTGTGTGATGTAACAATGATCTTCAGTTTCTTTATTTACCGTAAAACTTCAAATAACAGCACATCCTAGTTTTTTTTTTTTTTTACATTTAAGGGTTTATTTTGGGGCTTTTATTGGAGAGACAGGACAGTGGTTGGAGTCAGAAATTGGGGAGCGAGAGAGATTGGGGAATGTCATGCAGGAAAGAAACCAGAGGTTGGATTCAAATCCCATTTGGAAGACTAGTCCTCCAAACATGGTGCACAGGCACTAACCTGATGTTTCCAGATGTGCTGACTAAAAAAAGGGACTCAATCAGAGGCCCAGATGCATTTTCTTTTGAAATAGTTTGAGGATCAAAAAATAAGGAGAAAAAAACAGCAAGACACAAGAAATAATGACGAAGTTCAACATCTATCAGAGAATAATGTGAGTAATATAAAAATTAATTAATAAAATTCGGAGAACAAATGTCACATGAAAACTTGATAGGCCAGCACAGCGATCGTTGGTGATTATTTGAACAGGAGTCTCTCCCTTTCTCTCACACACAGTGCAGCAGAGTGTCTCACAAAGTACCATCAAATTTGTGATTTTTACTTTTATTTCTTTTTTGATATCCTAATTTTGCACACAGTTAAATCTCCTTTCTGACCCTGATGAAGGCCACAGGCCGAAACACGTCATTCTAATAAAGTGAATAATGTTGATCTTCATCTTGTCGAGCTTTTTGACCTCGAACCACTTTAGTTTGAAAATAGTTCAAGTCTCATATTGACACTTGTCCCAAATAAAGGTAATTTCATAGACTGAAGTTAATAAAAGCCCAGACTATGGATTAAGGGTTTACTGTAAACTTACAAAGATCCAGTGTCCTAAGAATCAAACAATCAGTAGTAAAAAGTGTGTTTTTCCTTTACAGGTTCATGGCAGTGTGAGAAAACTGACAACATGTACAGAGTAAGAAACCTTCATGTCTGCGATCATGATATGATTATTAATACATATAAAGGGATCACAGTAATCAGATATCTGTTGTGTCTGACGGTAAAAATGAGTTGTCCTATCAGTCAATGGTTGTCGTTGTTTTTCCATTTGTCAGCCAGCAGGTGTCGCCGTCAGTGAGCGCTGGCTGTGTCTGCCTGATGAGGTGTGGCTGTCCGTCCTGTCTCTGCTGCCGCTCACAGATCTGTGCAGAGCGATGCAGGTGTGCAGACGTCTGCACTCACTGGCTGCAGATCACACCCTCTGTGAGTCGGCATTGCCCAAATAATCATGTTTATTTATGTGAAAGACTTGTGGCCCTTGTGAAAAAACAGCCTGTTTCTCAGTCTGGGTCAGCAGGGCGTGCAGGCCTGGTCGTGCAGTGGGCTGTTTGTTTCCTAAAGGTTCATTCGGCTTAAAAAGGACACGTAATCCTTTTTTAAGCAATAGTAATTTGAGGAAGGTACTCAAATACTGTACCTCTAACTCTAGTTCAGTACAGTTGAGTAAATGTATTTAGTTACATTCCTTCACATTCACAGCTGATTACATAAGTGGAATGTCCTGAGCTTTTCCAGGTAGGATTTCCAAAATGTGTGTGTGTGTGTGTGTGTGTGTGTGTGTGTGTGTGTGTTGGGAGCACATGGTGCATTCTCATGATGTAAGTGGTTCCAGTGATGCGGTGTACTGGACCACTCCCTGGACAAACACACAGTGAGATAACCCCCCGAGCGGCACCATCACATGCTCTCTACCTGCACACACATTGTAGGTCACTGACTCACCTCAGCAGCTTCACATACTGAACAATTAACCTCTACCTCTTTGTGAAGGGAGAGACGTGAGAGTGGAAAACTCCACCCTGACACAGCGTTGGTTCCTCTGCGTGGGCGGACGTCGCCCTCGCAGCCTGAGTCTGTACAGCTGCAGTGGACCCTCACTCTCCTCCTGGGGGCTGGCCAAGTTCTTCACTCTGTGCAGAAACTCTCTGGAGGTAAAACAGGGACTCAGAATTCCTCTTGTTGAATAAAAGCAGTATTGGTTGGTGTTTGCCTTCACATGATCGTACAGAGACGCCCCCCCAGGCTGCAGGGTTTGATCATCCTAATCAATTAGCCACCGCGGAGTCTATTCTGAGAAGAAAAAATACTTCTGATTTGCCAATGACCTGGATTTTTTATGCTTCTATTGACACTGTGTTTGAGATGAGCCCACACCCTGATTCCATGTGCCAGCTGTCAGTGATTACAAAACAAGTAAAGAGTACAGATCACAAGAGTGTCTCTAAAGCAGCACAGCATCACTAAAGCCCTTTCCACGAGTGCACTGCTGAAAATATCTTCAGAATTACAGGACAGTCTGCCCCTGAAATCTTCATGAGTTGCCTATTCACACGTCCCTCACAGCGGACAGGAGGAAAGGAGTCTCAGGGGCGGGACATGACATAAGAGGGACGTTGCAGAAATCTGACATGACAGAGGAAACGACAGAGTCTAAATATGTTGAAGGAAACTTGTGCTTTAACCCCTCCACAGATGGAGGTCAGAGAAAGACTTCAGACGTTACATTCATTCAATGGACTAAACGACTCTGAGGAAGACGCTGTGCTTTTGCAGCTTGTGAGATTTGCCTTGGTTGATTTGTTTGCTCCAGAACTTTATTTGGGTTCTTCACTGTGTGAAAGGGTCCACTGAATTAATTTAGAGTCCAACAATGATGAAGTTTCTGCCTCTATATCAAGTCTACCAGTTATTAGTGACGGCTCTATTGATTTGTTTTCTAGATCACCAGAAAATGATCCCGTTACCATGAGATAAGAAGCTTATTTATCATGAGATTATGAAGAAATAAATCTCATCTCATGGAGAAAAACTACTAGAAATAACTTGTAGTGTTGGTATATTGGATATTCATTTAGGGTTTCCGTAGTAACTAACTGTTAAACATGATGTAATGATTTAGTTGTCTTTTAGGTAGTAACATTTATGATCTGTATAAAAGAGTTAGTGGTAGTTCGGTGTGTCATTATCCCCTGCAGCGTTATGTAATGTCTGTCAGCTGTTGACCGCAGGAAGGTAAACGACTTATTGTATCAGTTAATGATTACCCTTAAAAAAACAGATACTCAGTTAATTACTAAATCTACATCTGTGAACTACAGGAACTCCAGGTCACAAGTTGCACAGGTCCTGGTCTCCATGGTGACCGGATGCTGCCTCTGATTGGCCAGCTGTGTGATCATGTGACCAGTGTGGATGTGAGCTGGAGTGGAGCGACAGACGCAGGAGTGAAAGCTCTGAGTGACTGCTGTCCAGGGTCAGTTTTTATATTTATACAGTATATTTCATTTGATCTTTCTTTTAATTCAGTAACTTCTCAGTGGTAGTGATGCTGTTTAATAGACTGTGTTCATTGTTTTTGTTCCAAAACACCAGGTGGATACGATCATTTTTTACATTATAAAGTACCTGTGTAAGTTCTTTAAGCTATTCCTTTTGTTACGAGCTAGAACCGGCTCCATCCATCCATCCATCCATTTTCTTGCGCTTAGCCATTCAGGTCGCAGACGCAGCAGCTGCAGTAAGTCAACCCAGACTTCCCTCTCCCCAGCAACATTTTTTAACCCCTCCTGTGGGATTCTGAGGGGTCTCCTCCCAGTTGGGCGTGCCCAGAAAATCTCCAAAAGCAGGCTTCCAGGAGACATCCTAATTTGCAACATATATAAATAAAACATAAAGCAAGTGTGAGAGAAAGTCATGAAATGGACAGTGACGGAAAGGACTGGTTCTCAAGACAGGGACAACATAAAGCTGGGTCAGCTCACCTACATGCTCACTCTGGACGGTGTTGTGAGGTGCAACGAGCCCAGGCTATTATTAGTTCAGTTTTTGTTGTAGCTGGATCACAAAAGAAGATCATCCCTAACACTTTCAGTGAGTCAGCCAGTCTCCAATCAGTGTCAGCAAAAGATAACCCTAACCCTGAAATCCAGAGTTACAAACATTAAGTCTGTGTTATATCTTCAAACTCTTTACAGATAAACTCAGACACTCAGTAATAAAATAACACTCAACCAGGACAAAAACAAATGCAACAGGAGGCTGAATGAAAACTGGAAATGTCATCATCATGAACAGTCTCTCGTTTACTTTTTCTGCAGGCTGAGACTAAAATCTGTCGTCCTGAACGGCTGTCAGCTCACTGATGACCCACTCGTCAAACTCGTCATGAGGCACAAAGAAAGGTCAGTTTGAATACATCTTAGTTTATCTGTGTACTCTGAAAATATAATGCTGCTATAGCTTGTGTAAACATGAAGCAGTAGGGAACTATAATATCATCTATATTAGAAACATCTTGTAATGTAATACACTGATGAGTTTTGATTGTGTGGTTGTGTTTCATTGGGCTTTTTTATTGTCTTGGTTTTCCTCCTGGATTTGACTCAACAATCACATTTCTTTATTTGCATCTGTAAATCTATCCAGATGTTCCCAGCCAGCTAATTACATGTTGGTTAAACACACTTGATTTGTGTTTAACCCAATAGTCTAAAGATTAAAAGAACACTCAGAAAACCGTCAACATTGAGCTATCAATAACAAAACAAGTTATTAAAAATTGTAATTTGGTTTGCCGAGTGTGGCTAACATAAGCAGCGCTAGCGTAGGCAGCCTCCGGTCTTCCCTGCAGGTTAACATCCACATGCCCTTGATAAATGTGCAAGTCAATATGCCAGTTTATTTCCATTTTCTAAATCAAAACGCTGCCAATCAGCTCTGCTCCTACAAGATGCTATCTGTTCAGTGTGCTAGTTTACATCCTGGTAGTAGAGCACGACCACCAGGCCCATTAACTGAAGCTACAGCCTCGTCTAGCAGGCGTCTGCAGCCTGACAGGCATTGTGGGGCGAGGTTTAAATAATTTGTTAAATCGACTAGTGATTCTGAACTAAATGCTCAGATCCCTGGAAACAAAGTGGATGTTCCATGTTTTTGTTTATGTGTTGTTTTCAGTCTTCGCAGAGTGGAGGTGTTTGGCTGTCAGTTCCTCTCTCCGTCCTGTCTACAAACTGTTTTTAAGGTATGTGATTTAAAAAAATGTGTCTTGCACAATTCATTAGATTTCATAATGCAGGAACAACATATGTTACACATCTTTAAAGCTCCTGTGAGGAGTTGTTAGCTGGATTTGGCACAGACTGACGTTAATATTCACGTCTCTTTATGAGCTTAAGAAGCAAATGAGACAATCAGCATAAAGATTCACTTTTAAAAAATGCAGCATCAGCCATTTACAAATGGTTATTTTTATGTCCAAACATATGCTGTGCAGACGGCGTCACATGAGGTGATAAACAGCACACTTCAGGAACAGCCTTTTATATATATTTGGCACCGCAAGGATGATCAACTAGTGATACTGTAATCGTTAAAAGACTGCAGGTGAGATTTTTCTT